ACCTGAGATCAGAAGAGGCGGGAAAAGACAGAAAAGGAAGGAGAGTCATCAAAGGAGAGGTGGTGAGTCCAAAAGGCAAAGTCCACCAGCTTCATAAGGTTGCTCAGACTGACCCCATTTCCAGGGTGGGATATTTTTACACACTTATTACTTATGATTATGCACGTTTTAAAAATTGTTATTAGCACGAAGGGCTGCATATATATTTTATAATACCCACAGTTATAAATTAGTTGTAACTGACTTCAGATTTAGTGAGTATATTATACAGGGTCCTGGCAGGAAATAGGTGGCAAATCCAAGGGATTTAACTGAAAAGACTTTAATTTGAAGAGTTGTGGTCAGGGTTAAGCAAATTAACAACAGATGGTAAGGAACCCAAGGGCCAGCAAAGGCTTTCCCACACTGCAGTTGGTTGATTAACGCCCTTCGCCACCAAGGAATCCATATTCTAAGCCCCGGACTCTGAATACGTTACCCTAGATGGCAAAAGGGACTTTGTATATATAGTCAAGTTAATGATCTGGAGATGCAGAGATGATCCCGGATAGTCTGGGTGGGCCCAATGTAATCACAAGGGTCTTTCTAGTAAGAGGGAGATATTAGAATCAGAGAGAAGCTGTGAGGATAGAATCAGAGATCAGAGACTGGATGATGAGGTCTGGAGATGAAGGACAGGGCCGTGAACCAAGGAATTTAGATCACCTCTAGAAGATGGATCCTCTCTGGAGTTGAGCAATGTCAAAAGTATGTCATCATCATAATAATGATTACTTCCTTTTTCGTTTTCATTCATGCAGTTGAAGTTTTCCAGAGGCTGCATGATGTGTGGTGTTGTGACAGAGTAAGCGCAGGACTGAATGTGACTATCAAGCCAATAGTAGAGTCGTGAAAAAATGTAAAACAGGAGCACTTTTCTCCCTACTTTTTTTTAAATCTTTTTTTAAAAATAAAATAATTTTAGAAATTATGAATTATTTATAAAATGACAGGAACATTATGTTCATATGCTAATATAGTAACATTTTTGGCTTAGATTTTGAATACACCAAATATTTATAAATATAACTCACATAAATAAAAGCTCTTTGATGTTTTCAATAATTTTCAAGAATGTAAAAAGTTTGAAAATTGTCGATCTAGCAAATTACCGATCATGAACAGCTAGTATTTGTCCCTGCCCAGCAGTGCAGCAATTCCTTATTCTTCTCATATCTGCACTTTTCCTTTGAGACCTCTCTCCCCTCCTCTCAGCCCATGACATGTTTACATTGGGTTAACTTAATTCCCTGGCTCAAGGGAAAGGCAATTAAATCAGACTTGTATCCAACCATTCCTGAAGCTAGACTTAGCCCTGTTTTTCATCAACATGAACCAATCAATTTTCACATGAGTCTAAAAGAATTCTATCTTAATATATTAAGGTTCTAGGAAATCTAGTTTGAGAAATGTTGATCTAATCATTGTGTTATTTATAGTGGCGTATTGACATAAACTTTGATTCTTCAGTTATGCTATGGGGACTTGGCATCTCTTAATATCTATTAGCTTACTAGGCTTTGTCCTAAATATTTTATAATTTTAATAATGAGTTCATTGATTAGTTGATATATTATTAAAATAAATATATTGAAGAATTTGTGATAAATAACACAGACATGCAATTGGGAAGACATGTTAAACAAATACTTATAATAATACAATCACTCTCAGCTTAGATAACTCCTGGCCACTTTCTCTCTGGGTGATTGTTACTCTGGGATTCATTTAAATCATTATCTTTGCCTAAGAGCTTTCTCTGACTCCCCAGAATAGATTTAGACCCCAGTATTATTACAAGATTCTTATTGTATTTGCACTTTGCCTTCAAAGTACTTATCACGGTTTTGTTAGTGATTTGTGTAATGATTTGTTGAATTTTTTTTTTTCACACTAGGATGTAAGCCCCACATTCTATCTTGATCACCATGTTTCTAGGATCTAGCCCAGTGCTGGCATATAGTGAGTTCTCACTAATTTATCCGTAGAGTAAATGAATAAATGCATGAGTGACATGACAGGAGAATTTAGGGGTGCCATGGGAGCATAAAACAGAGAGAGCCACCTGGGTTAGGAGAACTGAGAAAGACTTCTGGAGAAGTGACATTTGAGCTGCGAAAGGAAAGACAAGTACGAGAGTCCTCCAGGTGTAGGAGTTGGAGAGACGTGCACTCCAGGTAAGGGTAGCATTGGAAGCTGATATAGAAAAGGATTCTGAGTTAGCTTGTGAAGGACTATCAGAGGGTTTTTAAATTTTTTATATATTTTTAAATTTTTGAGACAGAACCTTGCTCTGTCTCCCAGGCTGAGTGTGGTGGCATGAACATGGCTCACTGCAGCTTCAATTTCCTGTGCTCAAGCAAACCACCCACCTCAGCTTTCTGAGTAATGGGAACCACAGATGTGCACCAAAATGCCTGGCTAATTTGTTCATTTTTTGTAAAGATTGGGTCTCCCTATGTTGCCCAGGCTGGTCTCGAACTCCTGGGATCCAGTGATCCTCATGCCTCGGCCACCCAAAGTGCTGGGATTACAGAAGTGAGCCACTGTGCTTGGCCTATTGAAGGTTTTAATCTCCAGAGTTTTTACTTTATACCAACAACACTTAGAAGCCATCAAAGAATTGCAGGTATGGAAATGACATATACATTTCCTTTTAGAAGAAAATTCTGATCAGTATGCACAGAATTCTTCAGGAGGCAAGTGTGATTAATTCAGATAAGATATAGTGTGGCTTAGACTGGGAGACTGGCAGAGGTTTTGAAGATTCCTTTGCTCAGTTTTTATTCAGCAAGTATTTACCGTGCACCTATATAAAATAGCAGGCAGCATTTTAGGAAATGATAAATGTCATAGAGGTGAATAATAGAGCAGGAGTCCTTGAACAAATGGGGTTTATCTATTAATTGGGGAGTGGAATGTTAACAAAGGAATAAGTGAATACATAGGCAAGAGAGAGGCATTACCTTTGAAAAAGCAGCAGGTAGACTGACAGTGGAGTATCTAATACCTCCTATGGAAGCCTGAATACAGTGAGATCACATTTTTTGAGTACTGGTAGAAATGTCATATGAAGAACTCTGTAGGAATGTAACATATGGTCTCATATATGATGCTCCTGGGTCAAGCATCCCTGAACATTATTCAGGGATTTGAGGGACTTTCTTGTAATCTGAGGATCAAGATGTCAAGGAATAAAAAACATGTATAAACCATTGTTGTATAAAACCCCATTAAAAAGAATAGAAGACACTATAGTAAAGTCATTGTAGGTTTGGTTGTTATAACACATTTGAAAAAGTTTGATCCCAATAAATATTTATGAGAAAGAAGAAATACGGAATTATTTCCTGACTCGAGGAGGAGGGGGAGGAAGAGACAATCAACTTACTTTCCAAATTTAACAAACAAAAAGTAGGAAGAGGCCAATGACTGCAAGGAGTAGAAGATTAACATCAATTGTTTCTGTGTTTGAGTTTGAAAATTTTTTGTCCCTTCACCAAACTAGATGTTGATACGTATATAAATGCTAAAGGCATTTTTGATTTTGAACAAATCATTTTCTTTGTATGGGTGCCTTTTAAAAAAAATCCAACCTGGTTACTCTTCTTCAACATGTACTGAGGTCTAAGGGTTCAATTTAGAACACATGCTTTAATAACACAGAGACCTGTCATTTGTCACAAATCTTGCATGGGGAAGTACTCATTAGCGAATTAGGCAGAAAGAGGATGCACAATAAAGAGGCAAAGTAGACCCTTGATATCCATGGAAGATTGGTTCCAGGAAACCACCAAACCCCTCCCCGCAAATACCAAAATCTATGGATGTTCAAGTTTCTTAACATATCGTGGCATATTTACATTTAACCTCCTGTATACTTTAAATTATGGCTAGATTATTTATAATACTTAATACAGTGTAAATGCTATGTAACTAGTTGTGTATCGTTTAGGAAAAAATCACAAGGAAAAAAGTCTACACATGTTTAGTCTAGACATAGCCAGCCATTATTTTTTCAAATGTTTTTGATCCATGGTTCATTGAATTCAAGATGTGGAATCCATGGATACTGTGGACTGATTGTATTACTAAAAAAGTGGAACATTCCAAGTTTTATGGGTGTTTAAATCAGTCAGCACCTTCCTTCTGAAGATATATCAGATTTGTGAGCAATGTTAATATCTTTCTTTTCTCACTAAGGGCCACAGTTCTGAATAGAGGTTTTTAAAAAGCCTTAGCAAGGTTTCTTTAGCAACGAAGCTAACATTTAACTATACCATCAGCTTTGTGTAACATTTCTTTCCTGACCCTTGGGTGAGCCCTCCTCGGATGCCTGCTTCTGGTTACACAGCCCTTTACCCTCTTCTCTGCACTGTTTTCATCTTTATAAGGTCAGAGTTGGTATCTAAAGGCTCTCTACTGCCACATTCAAGACCTGCGTCACTCAAAGTCACGTTCAAGATGCAGAAATGGGGATTTGGGAAGGAAATTCCGGAATTTTCGAAGTCTTCCAAAATACTTTGAGACGCTGTATTTGGAACCACTTTTGGGGGGAGAGGTTGGACAGGAAGGGTCTTCAGAGATCATCAAATTCAACTTTCTAAATCCTAGGGAGTAAACGGAGGCTCCAGGTTGTGAACTGCAGGAGGAATGTCTGAGGTGCCACCCTTATCCTCAGCCAAGGTCTCCTCTGTGTCTTCCTTAGCATCTCTTGGACCTTCAGAAAGACGGCTGAGGATGGCAAGCAGAGTCTGGAACTACTGAAGTCGCCTCCTGCCTCCTCCTCGGAGGGCCCCCAAGAAGGAGGCCCTGCAGAGGCAGAGAGAGAGAGAGAGAGGGAGGGCGAAAGGAAGGAAGGGGAGCCAGAGGTGGGAGTGGAAGAGGCAGCCTCGCAGGGGCTGATTGGCTCCCGAGGCCAGCGCTCTCCGAGCGGTTTATAAGAGTTGGGGCTGCCGGGCGCCCTGCCCGCTCCAAGTCGGCGTCCAAGTCGGCGTCCAAGTCGAGGCCCAGCCGCAGCCTCCGGAGTTGGCCGCAGACGAGAAGGGGAGGGAGCGGGAGAGGGAGGAGAGCGCCGGAGCGAGCCGGCCGAGCGCCATGCGCCGCGCCAGCAGAGACTACACCAAGTACCTGCGTGGCTCGGAGGAGATGGGCGGCGGGCCCGGAGCCCCGCACGAGGGCCCCCTGCACGCCCCGCCGCCGCCCGCGCCGCACCAGCCCCCCGCCGCCTCCCGCTCCATGTTCGTGGCCCTCCTGGGGCTGGGGCTGGGCCAGGTCGTCTGCAGCGTCGCCCTGTTCCTCTACTTCAGAGCGCAGGTGAGTGGCCACCTTCCCAGGGGTGCGCGGCCAGAAGCGCCCCTCTCGCTCCGCCCGCACTTGGAAACTGAGTCTGGCCGCGGGGTTGGGCTCCCCAAGCTTGCATATTCAGGAGGGGAAAGTGACTCTGAAAGAGGGTGTGTCGGGTTCGGGGACAGCCTGGCGCGGGGCTGTGGAGCACGCTCCGCTCTCCGCGCACGCCCCCCAGCCCCGCGGCGCGCCGGGGCCAGTCTCCACCGGCCAGACAGTGGGTTTGTTGAATCTCACCCAGTGCCCACGCTGGGAGACAGCACTGGCCGCTCACCGCTTCTGGTAGTTATTGCACACTTTTTCCCTCTGTCATTTCTCACTTGAAGTTAAGAACCAACTTCTGTTCCGTCAGAAAAAAATGAGCGCCTTCACTTGGGCATCCACCCCACCCCTTCCCGCCCACCGCCCGGCGGATTTCGGTTCCTGCGCTGGCTGCTCTGCAGGTGTGCCGGGCCCCTAGTGCTGGAGGGGTGCGCAGAGTGGGAGGTCTCGATGCTCGTGCCAGGTCGCCCAGTGGGTCGGCAGAATGACACAGCGCGATCAGAGAGCCGAGCGCTCGGGACGGGGGCTGTGCGGCTGTGGCGCTGTCCCGTGAGGGCGAAGAAAGAGGGACAGCCCCACGTGGCTGCCAGAGAGGTGGGCGGAGGAAGGAAGCGAGGTGTGTATGATGGCACAGTGTTACTACAGTCTAGCAAATAACCAACCTTCGAAAAGATGAAGAGGTTTTTTTTGCACGACGGCTCGGAACTGCAAGGAGATAGTAGGAAGGAAGGGGTAAATTTGTAATATTATGCTTTCTGGTGGTTTATGCTCTTGTGTTTTCTTGGAAATTGCAGTGCAGTTGGTTGGATTCATTCAAATATTCTTCTCTGGTGCTGTGAACTCTTTCTCAGAGGAAGTGGGGGGCTGACTGTGCATTTTTTTTATGGGAAAAGAAAGTTGGGTTTGGACAACATTCGTTTTTCAGATTCAAAGGTGATTACTAAACCAAACGGGATGCATCAAAACATGGCATTGCTTGGATTGTATGGTTTTTTGACATGTGCCAATGTCTTGAACTCCATTACTTTTAATCATAGGCTTTTTGTGAAGTGTTCATTATCCGCTTGTTTGCATTTTCTAGAACTAGTGTGATTACCCACTAAAAGTAGAAATGCCATGAGCCATTCTTCAGAAAATCTGCATTAAATATAATCTACCCATTGAGAGTTTTTTTCCCCCAAAAGACAACTTTTGAGTGGCTTACTTGCAACACAGATAACACAAATCTATACAAAATTGACTAAAAGTCTTTCTTTCATTGGAGTGTGTTGCGGTCAAGAATGGTTTACCCATTTTCCCATCCAGCATTTTGTTAATAACCCCATGTAGTGCTTGTGCATGGAGTGCCAGCGTTGTGCATGGCCCCATCACCTGCGATGGAATGAATTAAAAATCATTTATTCAACACACAGTGCCCACTTACAATGGGCATGGAGCCAGGTAACTGAGGGGCCTAATCAAACTGTCAAAATTCTTAGTCAAACAAAAGAGCAACACTCAGAAAAGAGATCAAAGATGCAGTAGTTCTCCACTGTAAATCTTTTCTAACACCTTAGGGATATGGCATTTTCATTGCCGTAACAGTGAAGACAGTGTCCAATGTTGAAAGAGTGGTAGGGAATGAAGGAGTTCTAGGAACCACGAACAGCGTGGCTTGGCAGGAGCTGTGGAAATCAGTGGCATGGCTATGTAGGAAAGAGTGATTTGCTGGGCTTTTGTTACAGTTGTTGAGCTTTTCCATAGGAATTCTCAGTGGTCCCCATGGGCTGAGGAGTCAGGGCTTTCAATGATCTCCCATCATCATTTAACAGTCTTAATGCTGTATGAATAATAGTAGAACAACTCAAAACCCTTTTTCAAAGTAAACATGTGAGTTAGGAAGTCTCCTTCGGAGAAGTTAATGCCATCAGACTTTGGGGTACGGTTTTCTTAAATATCATGAAAATTCGGTTCCTCTGACTTCTGCAAAATAATTTAGCCATTAGTCTGAACCCACTTTTGTACTGCATTTTAAAAAGGCCACCTCCTTCAGTAAAGAAACAATATTAGGAACAATATGTTCATATGAATATACCACTAGATCTGGATGCATTTTACTGGATATTGTGTCTACATTTGTTACCCAAAAAAGTCCTAATCATTTTGAGATACATTCTGAAATAGTTACAAATAAAAACTGCCATGGTGTCCGGAATTTGTTTCAAAATAATTTCTGGTTGCTTACAGATGAAAAAAGATTTGCCATACGCTGGTAATGGTTGAAGTGCTGATGAGTGCATGGGGGTTCACTCTGTAGTTCTTTCCTCTTTTATGTGTGTTAGAGACTTTCTTTCAAGGTTTTAGTTAAGAGAATAGTCTCCAGATTTTTTTAATGTTCACCATTCTTACCGGCGTGAGATGGTATCTCACATGGACACAGGGAGGGGAGCACTACACACTGGGGTCAGTTGGGGGGAAATAGGGGAGGGACGGTGGGGGGTGGGAAGCTGGGGAGAGATAGCAAGGGGAGAAATGCCAGATGTAGGTGATGGGGAGGAAGGCAGCAAATCACACTGCCACGTGTGTTCCTAAGCAACAATTTTGCATGTTCTTCACATGTACCCCAAAACCTAAAATGCAATAAAAAAAAAAAAAGAGAATAGTCTCCATGTGACCTATAGCTGATTTAACATTTTCACTCATATCAGCTCTTTGGTATTAGAATTTGGTACAAAATAAATCATAGTAGTTTTCTGATTTCCACTGAAGTTTTGAATCAGCTATTTGGGGTTTCTAAATGCATTTGAATAAGAACAAATATCCAGTAACGTGTTTGTAATTTACAGTTAAAAAATGATGAGAGAAATCAGTTTTATTGTTTTCGTTTAAAGGTAGAGAAAAGAAGGTGTGCAAATCATCGAGGAAAAGCTTTTGAGTTTTTAAATGCATTTAGAAGAATGCCCAGAATAGTGTAAAAATTACAGTGACTATTTAAAAAAAATATTTTCTTGAATGTTTGAATAGATAAAATTAAATCAGCCTCCTGAATGTTTGCAGATTGCCTGGGCCTAGATTTTTAAAAATACGTATCTACTAGATCCAGTGTAGCTTGGCTTTTCCCCCGCCACCCTGCCAAAGAGAAAATACTGTGTGGTTTCTGCTATATATTTGCCACATAGTATTCATGCTTTGGTTTACAAAGAAAAACAAAAAACCCTTTCAAAAAGTTGCTCTGTGTGTGTGCGTGTTTCTTTAACATTCGTATAACCAACCCTATTCAAAGCTTAGGGTTTAGCTATAAGATAAGCTTTTCAGAAAAATCAAGATCTTTTGCCCTTTTAACTTCTTTCCTCAATTCCCCAATAGGCACAAACCAACCTCCCTGCTTGTTTGTTACCCAGGACAACAGCCACTGCTGAAAATCTGATGTAGAGGTGTGCACTGCCTGTTTGAAAACACAGATAACGAAGTAGCACAAACGTCAAGCATCCTGCCTCATTTAACCCTACAAATGATTAAGTTTCAAGGAAGTTTAAAAAATGAGACAGTGTATTTCATAGGCATTACATAGTCTGACAAATGCATTTTAACAGTCCATTTTAAGTCAGATACTCAGGATTTATTTAATGTTTTCAGAGATGTCTAAGTACAATGAATTCATTTGTTACTCAGTTTACTGTGATTTTTGGTTGAATTTCTGTGTTCCTCAACGAAGTGTAAGTTTCATGAAGACAGGGACTGCTTGCTTTGCACACCACCTTATTCATAGCATCTAGCCCAGTGCCTGGTATGTTTAATTTACTGAAAAATCTTTTCTAATGATTTGCAACACTACAGATATGTCAATTTCTGATTGTAATATGCAAATTATCAGATTAGTAGCTAAAATAGTATAATTTTTCAATCATGCAATCCTCCAACCAGACTACTGTGTGCCAGTAGGTAGGTTGTTGTGTAGGTGATACATTCGTTCAGTCAGCTGGTGGGCATTTGCTGAGGGTCCAGCATCAGTCCAGCTCTCTTCCGGCCCTGCAGTTCCTTCAGCTTGGAGGCCCTCGTTTACCTGTGTATGTAGCTGGCCTTGCACCCTGGACCTCTCCTCCTCCCTTTTCTCCTAGTCTCCATTTTCAGGAAAGGAGGGCTGCAAGGGCACTGGAATGAGAGAGACACATGGTTGCAGGTTAAAAATAAATTTCTAATGTGTGATCCTTGAGTAAACAAAATAAATGAGTATATTAAAAGGAATTATGCCATGCATTCTTGATTTCTTTAGGGAAAAAAAACCTGATGGGCATTTAACTCTAATGCTGCATTCCAAAACAGTGGTTCTCAACTGCACAAAGTATTTGGGAAGAGGTTCAATGATTGGACCCTATCCTTAGGGATGTTGATGAAATTGGCCCAGTGAGGGGTGGGGTAGGAGTGAGATGGGATCTGGGTATGGGCATTTTTTAGGAGAAAGGGGACAAAATCTTTGCATTGTGTTTATTTGCATCAAATCAGTAACCATTATTAGCTGTTGCAGTATCTTTGTACGAATTGATGTTACTTGTGAAACAATTTTTAAATTGGTGTCCAGGGAACTTTGGAATGATTTTAATAGCAGAAAATCTATATTTTAAAGCATGACTTCTCAAACTTTAATGTAGATAAGAATCACCTGGGATCTAGTTAAAACGAATATTCCCAGGAAGTGTGCCAGGGTGAAGCCCGAAATTCTACATTTCTAGCAAGCCCTCAGTGAGCCCACGATGCTACTGGATTGGACTACCCTGAGGCTCAGGAATATAGGGGCCAGGTACGGTGGCTCATGCCTGTGATCCCAGCACTTTAGGAGGCCAAGGAGGGAGGATTGCTTAAGCCCAGGAATTCAAGACAAGCCTGGGCAACGTAGCAAGAGTCCATCTCTACTACGGAAAAAAAAAGAAATTAGCAATTAGCCAAGCATGGAGGCCTGCACCTACTTGGAAGGCTGAGGAAGGAGGATTGCTTGAGTGCAGGGATTTCAAGGCTAAAGTGAGCTATGATTATACCACTGTACTCCAGCCCGAGTAGGGGTGACAGAACAAGACCCTGTCTCCAAAAAAAAAGAAAAAAAAAAAAGAAAAAGAAATAAAGGGAACTGCTGCTTTTGTTAGACAGCTCTTAGCTTGTCAGCAGGACTCCAACTTAACCAAGTTTAGGGTCCCCAGGCATTTCCCTACTAAGGCCACATTATTCCTTTGACTCAGCAGTTTTCTGGTGGCGCGCCAATTTAGGCCTTTCCATGATTCTTCTTTCCTGAGGTCTAAACCCAGTGACCCTTCATATCAGTTGCCCAGGCTTTTCTGGTCTTGTGGGATACATATTGGCATAAGTAAGCCTTTTTAGTTTTCCAAAGTGTGTGATTGAAAACTTTCCTTGTATAAAAGCTCGCATACTAATTATTCTAAAGAACATAGGACAAATAAATACAGATTTTACACAATTCTGCTTCATGATGGTATCTCTTCCATGATGATTATAGATAATCCTTGTATGTGCAAGACTGAAAATAATAAAATTTGTTATTAGTGGGTGCACATTTGTTAAAAGGCTGTCATTTCATTTTGAGAATCTCAGATATAGATAGGCTGCTTTTCAGTTTATTTCTAATGATTGGTTAATAAACCAACATATCATTCTGATTACTTTTAAAAAGAGAGAAAGAGAGACTTGTCATTAATTTGGACTGAGCTTTGTAAACTTACGTAGCTTTTCTTTTTCACCTAGTTTGTACCTGCTAATAAGACAATGCAGATGAAGTGAAGTACCTTGAATATTTGATAAAGAGGACAAGTTAAATTCTCATTATTAAAACAGGTGATAGCTAATTATTGCTACTCTTCACCTTTACTTGGCAATTGAAACCACTGAAAGGCTTGGAAGAAGCAGGCAGACAATTTTAAAGAGTAGTGATTAAAGATATTCTAATGCTAGACACCTATACTTAACAGGCAATCAGCTAATTACTCAACGGGTATACTTTGGGTGAGACAATTCCTTACATTACAGGAATGTTAGCATCCCTCCAGCACACATCTGTAGTATCTGCTAATGCAGCCTCCCCACCCCAGTGTGATGACACCAAATATTACCTGCACCCATTCCCAAACACCACCTGACAGGTATACCACTTCAGGTTGAGAAACACTGATGAGAGGGTCAACAAAAAAGAGATTACACGTCTGACTTCAAGTTTTGTTTGGAGGTAGAAAATGTATTTTTCTCTCTCTTCTTTGGCTGATTGAGGAAAAAGGGCCAGGCAAACAGTGTTTAAATATGATGTTGATTTTGCCTGATTTATATAGGCTTCATGCTTTGAATTTCAAAGTGGGCCTCATAATCCCATCTAGCATGTTGCATATAGCTGATTTAAAGACAAAAAGGTATTTAAAGGCAGAGAAAGTATTTAAACGCCAATACTTCCTCTGCCTGCAGTGACCACATGTGATTTCCTTGGTGCCCCTCCCCTCTATGAACACTTTCATGTTGCCAGACAATTTTGACGGTTTCTCCCATGAATCACGCACATACACTTCTGTCATTGTTAAAAGTCCACCGCAGGACTAACTGTGCCTTGTGCTATGGATGATAGTCAGCTACTCATTCAGATGAATTAGAAGTCCATATTTTCACCATCTTGAGAGTCATTGTATTAACTGTTAATCGTTAGGAACATAAAGACTCTTGCAAGCGTGAATTTTTTGTTCTTAAGTCACACTTTATTAAATAGCAGGATGATTAGTGATAAGCACTCTAACGTCCTTGCTGTTTCTCCTCCTCAGATGGATCCTAATAGAATATCAGAAGATGGTACTCACTGCATTTATAGAATTTTGAGACTCCATGAAAATGAAGATTTTCAAGACACAAGTCTGGAGAGTCAAGACACAAAATTAATACCTGATTCATGTAGGAGAATTAAACAGGCCTTTCAAGGAGCTGTGCAAAAGGTAAGGGCACACTGAGGCTGACAAGTTAAGGGCCCTTGCTGACTCTCCCAGTACTGAAAATTAAAACTGGCTAAGTGCTGTTGACTCTGTTCTTTTTATTCTAATAATTTGTAAAAGAGCTACAGGGAATGTTTTAAAGAGATTAGCAGAATTCTTTTGAAATTGGTAGTGATTGACTATGGCAACCAGGGATGTTCATGCAAATATATTTTTTCTTTCCTATCTTTTTTCTTTTAAAGAGGAGGGATTTAAATTCACACTTGGAAGAAAGACTAAGGTGGCTGTGGCCTGTCCGTGAGTCAGTTTGCCATTTTGAATTCCCTGACCTAGAAACCATCCCCACAGTTCACAGGACTTTCTGGTAGCAGTTTTCTTTCTGTTTGGCTTTGTAATGGCAGGACCGCCTATTCCACATCTGTTGATCCAGGGCTCTGATGAGAAGCAGTTGTAACTCTTGATCCTTTGCTGTCATCTGCGGTGAGGAGGTAAGTAGGCAGAGCAGGAAACGATGTGAGATGGAGATTCTGTGCCCGTGTTCTCATTTTCTGGGAGAGCTGAGTGACAAGAGAAGAGTTAGGGTCAGAGAAGACCGATCACTTCTCTTACACTGACAGCCCCAATTGAGAAACGCTGTGATAGCTACCTGTTTTACTTTCTTGGACAAAGCCGCCTAAGAATTCTGCAGCCCAAGAATTATTTTGCCTACTGACTCCACTGAAACCCAGGTGGAACACAAACAGTGACCCCAGTGCGACACCTGTGTGTGTGTTACATACCGGCACGCATGCATGCATCTACTTACACATCCCAGCTTGCAACTCCCTGGTTCTCTGGTCATTCCAGAGTAACTCTCAAGTTCTCAAAGCCCTTACCTCTAAATTTAACTTTAATTTAGTTTATTTTTTTTAATCCACATATAGTAATATAATTATTTAAAAAGAGGACATGTGTCAGAGGTAAAGGTAGAAAGATGTAGCTGTTTTATAAAGCCAGCTAACAAAAGTAAATGTTTGTAATCCCTGAAAGTTGAGATTTGCTGTATTTTATCAAATCAAAGATACCACCAATTTTCAGCCTACTTTATTATTTCATGCATCACTAAGAAAGAAGAAACTATTGATTAAAAAATACACATGATCATCACAGGTTCTAGTTGCATCTTAATTCCAGAGATATCAAAATGTTAAAAATTGTGCATTGTAGAATGCATGAAGTACCTATTAGTCTAATGTGTTAAGAAAGCACATTTCTTACAAAAATTACTTTTTCATTGTGATTAGTGTGGAGGTGCTTGACTTTGTACAGTAGACATATTATATGTTTAAATTCAGTGATCTTTAATCTTGCAGTATAATTTTTGAGCTATAGGAACAGCAATTCTGTTAATCTATTCATTTTTATATTTCTTTGTTATTTGTTTGCTTTTTATCCCGCTCGTGAAGCTGATCTCTTAAATACTGAGTAATCTGTCTATAAACAACTATTCACATGCACTAGGGGCAATCTACTGGTTCAAAATTGCATTTCGTATATAGGTAATTCTGGTCAGGCAAAAGATTGTGTCCTAATATTCTGTTTAGATTGACCCATGTTGTAAGTCCTCAAAATGATGAGATAAACGTTTAATTTCAGCGATGTGCTGATTCTTAAAAGTTATCCTTTGAGTTTCTTATGGAAGAATAAGTATGGAAAATCAGCCAAGTTAATTCTGAAAATAAATAATATTAAGAACAAAGGCAAAGATGGTGGTGCACACTTGGAATCCCAGCACTTTGAGAGGCTGAGATGGGAGGATCACGTGAGCCCAGCAGTTTAAGAACATGCTGGTCAACATAGTGAGACCTCTATTTCTACAAAAAAAAAAAAAAAAAATTAACTGGCCATGGCAGCATGTGCCTGTAGTTCCAACTACTTAGGAGGCTGAGGTGGGAGCACTGCTTGGGCCTGGGAGGTGGAGGCTGCAGAGACCTGCAGTTGCACCAGTGCACTCCAGCCTGGCAGCCTGGGTGACATAGTAAGATCTTGCCTCAAAAAAAAAAAAAAAAAGACAGAGAGAAAGAAAAGAAAAAGATTATTAACATTATTTATGAGAGTGCAAGAATGGTTCAATCCCAACAGGTTAAAGGAAAAAAATATGTTACCATCTCTTAGATCCAGAAAAGTGATTGACAAAATTTTTCATAATTTCTGATGTTTAAAATCCATTAGAAAACAGAACTGGATGCATTCTTGATGTTATTACAAATGTCTCAAACTAAAAGTTACCTAATGATTAAACATAAGAGCATGTTTCTTAAAGTCAGGAACACAACAAAGATGCTCACTGTCCCTATGTTATTTAACATTGTTCTGAAGGTGCTAGCTAATGTAATTACATAAGAGAATGAAATAAGAAAATAGAGAGAGAAAAGAAGGCAGAATTTGCATGTGATATAATTATATACTCAGGAAAAATCAAAAAAAGATGAAATGCTACAGGCAAAATAAAATATCAGTTTGTAAAAATAAGTAATAATCACTAGCTGTCCTCATTTCAAATAACTAGAAAACATGAATGAAAGATTTCATTCATAATTTTTAAAATGCTCTAAAAATAAACATAACAAGAAATATACAAGGCTTATAGGAATAAAACTAGAAACCTCTACAGAGGCATTTAAAATATGATTGGAGAATGTAAAGACATGACGATGCACAGTCATCATAATTTTTGCAATATAACTTGGGCCAAGGACAGCAGACAAATCCATGGAAGAGAACAAGTGGCTTCAATTAGACCTTATTGTGTGTCTCTGTGTGAATGTATGTATATATGTAATTTAATATAATACTACATTACTTTAAATAAGTGAGCATACTCTGAATTCTTAAAAAACATATTGAAATAATTTGTTTAGCCTTTTAAAAACGTTATAGTAATTTCTCTTGTCCTAAGTGAAAATAAATCCCAGATTGAGAGAGTATTTGGCAGCCAACTGTTGCTCACTGGCAGTAGCATCCCTTAACATTTAGTGTGGCTTCAGTGAACTTTTCTATCACTTCCTGCCTTCTCAGAACGTTGTCCCACTTCCTTTGGGATTTCTAAGTGACTCCATAGGTAGTATGGAACACCAATTCGTATGTAAAGTTGTTAGTGAGTAATAATGGCAGGATTTTCCCTATTTTAGGATCCTTTTGGAGACCTGATGCCTCATTCCAAATGAGTAACACAAATAATGAGACATTCACTAGTTGGCAAACCATATGGAGAAAATTTGTGGTCAGGCAGGAATAATCAACTGCACTTATTAAGAGCACATAGTCTTAATTATATTGATAGATTATTATGACTCACATGAAGAGTAGAACTTTATTTCATCAATTTCACATTTGCTGTTGTTTGTTATAGGATCTTAGCCTTTTGCATAGGTAATAATATTAGACACAACTAATCCTTTCCGGAGAATTATAAATTAAAGCTGTTATACTATACCAATGTGTATTTGGGGGTAGAAGATGCCATTTCTTCCCCCTAGACAAGATCTTTAGGAAGAAGACACATCTTATTTATACCTTATCATTAGAATCAACCAACGTTCATTAAGTGTATATAATGTGCTAGGCACCTTGCCATGTCTTTCCCTACACCCAAGGATTTACTCTTCTCTTACTGTATTCAAATAATGATTTACCAAATGTGTTATCTTTTGATAAGGATTATTGGTTAATATGACATTCTGCACATCTTGCCAAAATAATCAGATTTCTCATTTCTTTTGCCAATGCTGAAAAGAGGATGGATGCATTATGCATTCTTAAGTAAGTTTGTATCTTAGTTTTATTTCTAATATAGATATGGAATGAATGCTTAAGACAGAATTACATGTGTGGCTGGAATCATTATTGAGAGATCAACCCATCCAGTGGTAGCAGATACCAGACATAAGCACAATATCACATTATATGTGTGCGAACAGTGGTATTTACCCAGCCTGTCTTTGGTCAGACATGTAATGCTGTTTTTTTTCTACATTTTTGTTTGTGGCTGGGTTTTCTGGGCTTCCCCTGCCCCCTTTAGCACAGAACTCTGAAAACCTCTTACTGATCCAACCCTACCAACCACAATTTATAAAGTCTATCATAACAGTCTATGACAATAAAGCAAACACTAGTACAAATATGGTGTCTGATTTAGAAAGTGATTCTTGTTTCCAGTTTCACAGCCTCCCTGCTTCTGCCAGCCAGCATGGGTAAGGAAGTAGTGAGTTCAGACCCAAACGAGGACTATCCAGCATGCGAGTGAGGACACTCAGCCCACAGACCCCTTGGCCAGATTGGGTGGAAAGCCATCTGTTTATGCACTCACTATACATTCTAAGCACTTGAGCTGTGACTGTACTTGACTTTAGTGTGCTGGCTTGTTAATTTCATATTGGGTGCCTGTTTGCAGTTACCTTCCTAAAACTTAATTGCAAAGGTATTTGAAAGAATAATGTGCAGGAGAAAGGTCAATAAACAAATTGTACACATCACTTTCTTTTCCAAAATGGGATGTTCAGTGCATTCAAGATGATCCCCTGGGATGTGGGAAAGAAGCATAGGGACTTTCTGTCTATGTATTTTTTAAGATTAGCTTTTAAAGGCTGTGCTTTAGCAAATATTTTGTAATGTACAAATACAAGGTAGTGATTTTATTTAATATTTAAATAAATAAATATGTACGTTTGAGAGCATGAAAAATTTTTTCCCTAATGGAGCTGCACAGTCAGCCATTTTTACAGATCATGGAGTGAAGCTGCAAGCTCCATCAGGACAAGGACCACGGCCATTTCACACACATCTGAATATATTACACTTAATTTATTCTTAGGAATGAATGGAGAAAAGCATAAGTAAATGATCAATGAGTTACTGAACTCCATAAACTAATATTTTACATCAACCAACTCATAAAGTCATTCAGAATGTTATAAGCCTGGTTCTCATTTATATGATACTGTCTTACCAGACTGAGAATTGAT